CCAGATCTCAATCATGAAAATCTCATGGTGACGAAGACGATTGGATAAGAGGGAGGAGAAGAAAAGAAGAACAGAGAACTCACCGAGAGAGAATCGACAACAGAGGTCATATTCAACGATGGAGGTTGCAAATCAATTGAATATTATTCCGTCAACAGTTCAGAATCCAAAGTTTTAGGTTTCGGTCTAGACTTGGACTCAGATCCGCCAGATGAGTATTTTCCACCATCTCTGATTTGCTCTCCAGGGGATACATCCATAGTCCCAATTTTGACGAGAGAAGGGCGTTGATTCAAACAGAGTTTTCGATCCATTATTCAACAAAAACTAGACTAGAGAAAATATATTGGAACCAATATTGGCCCATCCCCACAAATGGTGCAAACTAAAACCCAACACAACCCAAGTCTAGTTGCAACAGGACCTCAATTTTTTATAGGGCCGACGACTTATCAGACTCTCTTAGTTTCCAGAGATCAATCCTTCTACCTCCAACACAACGATTCGGTGAGAAGTTACAAGGATGGAGGTTCGTCGAGTTCGTACGCCAAGGGGGAGAGGTTGAAAATCTTGAAACCCAAGACGGCACAGACAGAGTGCTGTCAATTTATGCTAAAAGCAGTTACGGCAAGGTCACTTTATGGCAAGGTCTGTTTCAACGATTTGGGATGCGATTCACTATTTTGACCCATCTGCTATGATTCCTTGGGAGAAAACAGACGATTACATCATTGTGCCTAACAATTTCGAGGTAGATTCCAACGGTGCTATGGTGACATCTAAAACTGGAAACTTTGATCAAAGTTATCCGGTTAATCTAGTTGCCAGACAAATTCAGAAGTCTAGGATAGAGGAGCATAGTAGATGGGTGCCAAACTTCTGGACAGATGATTATTCGCATGGAGAAGATTTAATTAAGATTCAACATATTGGTAATGGTACACCAAATGCCTGGATTTTTCTTTTTTTAACTGTCGAGGTGAGCAAAATGGCTACTCAAACAAAGTTTTCGGGAGCTCTATTGCAAAATTATGGGATGTTTTCAACAGAAAAAGATGGGGGCTATTATAGTGCGTCCTCAGGGCACCGATTAGACCAGGAGAATCTCCGATACTTGGCACATGAAGAAAGCACCATAGTTGGGGAATTGTTGAGTAAGGGGGGCTGTGTGTATTGGTTTGATAAGGAAACATAGAACAAGAAACTGGAGGCTGACTTTTCTGCTGTTAAGACCATGCAAGATGAAGAGGAAGTCGTCATAGTGAAGAACAGAGAAGGTATAGGTGTGGGGCATGATTTTAAAATTAAGAAAACAAAATACTTTCTTGCTTTGAAAGAAGACGGGGAAGACAATATTTGGTTTTGGAGTTCAACAGACCACTCAAAACAGGAAACAGGAGGGTTTTATTTGTTTCAAATGGCAGAATTTGACCGTTGGTCTGACAACACTAATATACAAACGAAGGTGGATGAGTCTATAAATTGGCAGAATTACACGAGGGACAGACTTGGTGGGAACCCTTGGACTTCGACTCTAATTTTAAGACAAAAGGGTGATAGGGAGCTGAATTTCAAAGGTTTGGCTTTAGTGGCAGCTGGTTGGGGAGTTGTTGTAACTGAGCAACCACGGTTTCTCTATTTTTTCTATGCACCTTGAGGACAAGGTGGTCCTTTGGGGGCGGGATAATGTTATGTACTGACCCAAGCCCAAGCCCAAGCCCATTAGTAGGAGATATATTCTAGAAGGGGTAGTTATGGTATTTTCTCCCTCGAGTCTGCTATGTATGTTAATAAAGAGGCAGTGTGTGGGAGGAGAGAGTCATGCAGAAAATTGTCCTGAGTTTTGTTTAGGAGAGACTAGCCTCTCACATGCTATAAACAGTTCCCTTTTATTGTTAATTGAGTCATCAGTCACTTGTTGTTATCTCCTGGTTACTACTTCCATTGTTCAATTGGTCCAATTCATAACATAAACACGATGAAGTAAGTTAGCTTCATCATAGGACAACCCATAACATATCATTGTAATACGTTGCCTTATCCAAGGGGGTCGTAGGCTTTAGAGAGTGGTTGCCTGTGAAACCACAAAAATTTAGGGGTTAAAGTGTAAATGTGTAATTTGTTTAAGGTCTTTAAATGTGAAACCATGATATTTTTTCGGGGTGAATGTGAAACTATAAAGATTAAAACTTTTGGTGAGTTTTATAAGAAAAATTAAGAAAGAAAACCCCAGGGGTACGCAAATTGAGGAGGATGGTTGGGGATAAGTTACAGTTTTGACCCTTCAAAAATGTTTTTTATATTTACTTCCTTTTCTTCTCTATTTTCATTTTATACACTTATCATATTAATTAATTATTAGATAAATTACATTCAAAAGTGCGTATTTTTTCACAAATTAATCTATACCTTCGAAGTAAGTCCAATAGTGAATATTTTAAAATTACTTTTGAAGTTAACACAAATAAAAATAACATATTTTTTACATTATGCATGTATGATAAATACATCATTTAATCTCATTAACTACACATTCGTCTTGATATTTGTTGTTGTTCCTTCTTGAATTATTTTGATAAAATTCATTCATGAATAATAAGGTGAAACTTTTTTGATAAAATTTAAAGTGATTACCATATTTATTAGTCTCTTTTTGGTTAGTGTTAATTTGTTCATATTGATGTAACACTGTTAACATAATAACATGAACCAATTCTTTAGGCTTATTTTGTGTATATTTGGCTCTAACTAAATAGACTCTAGGGTTATTTCGTGTATATCTGGGTCTAACCCTGTAGACTTTAGGGTTACTTGTTTATAGTTAATTTGGGGTTAATTTTTATTTTTTAGAACCTTATTAGGGGACTAACTTTGTAGGTTAAGTTGTTTATATTTGGGGTTAACTTTTTAGTCTTTAGGGTTAATTTGTTTATGTTTGAGGTTAATAGGTTGCATCTCAATCCGATCATGTAGATCATCGAGTAAAAAACTGGAAATGCATCAAAAAATCTATGTTTTAAAGTTTTAAGAGATAATTTTTTGAAAAAAACTAGTGTATCAATTTTTTAACGCGCTACCAAGCTGTGCTACAGGCCTTCCATTGGTCTACAGTGTCATTGTAGAGAATTCCTTTCTTGTTTTCCACATTGTTATCTCCTTTATTAAAATCTACAATTTTTATGTCGATTTCGTCTTTTTCGTCTCATTTAACATATAATAATAGTAAAATACTTTTATCTATATGAAATATGGAACGGAACCCCTTGAATCTTTTGGGGGAATATTGGGGAAAAAAAGGACGCTTTTTTGCTTAAATATTTGATTTATATTTGATGAAATGAACTTATTATTTATTTTCAATTTTTTTATATTACGATATTATTTTGTGATACCACTACCAAAAAATCCTGGATCTGCCACTAGCCTCATCATTGGACAACCAATAACATATTATTTGCACTCTTGTATACAAAAAAGTATCTTCAATGTTTCTTGATTTATCAATTCGTAAGGCAACTGAAATAAGTACATTTGTCAATTTTGAAAAATCAATTGTGCATGTCTATAAGGTACCAATGCTGGGTACATCTCAGGTGTGGATATCGATCCTTGTAAAGCATTTGTGCCTCAGAGCTAAGGGGTGTTGATCTAATAGAATTAATATTCATCATCTGGTTTTCTTGAGCGTAGTTATCTAATAATCCCTAGTATATGCCGATTAGATTTGTGAAATTTCAGTCGTGAGCTTATCTATTTATCAGCCACTACTTCCATTAGAAAGAATTTCTAAAAATTTGTTATTGAGTTTTGTAATTTTTTGACTTCTTTGCATATCAAGTATGAACCTGCTAGCGAAATTGATGTGCACTAGAGCTAAGGCTCCGAGTGGAGAAAAATAAACCAAACATGTACTGTTACAGATAAAAAGCAACACCAATTTACAAGGTTGTGTGTGGTGCTATGGTGGTGATGAATTTTTTTTACAACTACGTTAGCACCTATGCTGTTAATTGCGGCGATATCTTGGATAGCGGTCATTAGCAAAATAACGGAAGTCAAATTGCGGTAGCACAACTATCATCGCAATTTTGACCGATATTTAGAGTAAATTGCGTTCGATATTAACGTTTTTTTTTTTTGGGGGGGGGGGGTTTGGGCTGCAGAATTCATTGAGTCCCTGCACTATCCTTCTATAGCAATAACGTTATTTAGAGTAAATTGCCAAGTACAAGAAGTAAAAAGGAGCACTATAGGGATGATGATGATGATGATGATCACGTTGGAGACCTTAGGCTTGACAGCTCGAAGCTTTGTAATATAGCATCAGCCCAAAAACTTCGACCCTTCCTTCTAAATGGGGGTATGAAGGGGAGAAGGGGAAGAGTGGAAAGCTAGCCTAAACGAAGAAGTGAACGTATTAGATGATGTTGACTCAGATGCTGAACCTATTGCTTGTGATTAGCTCGTTTATGAACACTTTTCCTATTTTGCAAATGACATGTTTATGTAGGCATATTATACATATATATATATATAGTTATATATAATTCTGAGAAATATTATTTGATTTGGACCGCTATACCACCGCTATAACCGTTATTTCAAATATCATTCCCGACCGCAATGTTGTATTTTCACCGCTATAACAGCATACGTTGGCACTTGGTAGATTTAATGAACCCTTGAGATGAGATGAGCCATTTGGAGGCATCTTAGGAATTGTCATGTACAAGTTGATAATAAAGGCACATATCACTTGCCAATTCTTAATACTTATCATGTTGCCAAAAAAATCCCTTCACAAATAGAGGTTTTTAGTTGTTATTGGTTATCAACAAAATCATGCTAATTCTTTTAGATATCTTTTTGCTTTTGCCTTTATGGTCCCACAGAATTTCTGTTTCTTAATGTCTCTATATTTGTATTTCACTAGGTTTTCTTTCAAAAAGAGAAATGGTATTTACTGATGGTTCATAATATTGCTAAACTGATTGATGCAGTTATCCAGAAGCCGCAGAGGAGGATGTGAGGCGATACGAGAGATCTTTCAGAAGGCTTCCAGTGGCTCACAAGGTACACTTACTTTTCTCCTTACAAAAATACTATGTCAACATGGAACTCAAAGTCTCATGAAAGTTAAACGAGTCTGCTTCTAATGTGTATCAAAAGTTTAAACATTTTCCAGAATTCAATATGCAACAAATCTGGAAAGCTCATTTCAGTCATAGCAATTGTTTCTAAACCTGCATCTAAGTAGATTACTTTACACTATTCAGATTCTTGTTTTCTTGGATGCATAGAGCAGGAAATATTTTCTTTTTTCCTTTGCACTTTATTTTATTTTATTTTTTTGTCATAGGTTAGGTTGATGTTTTTGTATGCAATGTACCCAAGAGTCCTCAGAGTTCATGAACTTTTGCTTTAAAGTAGGTTCTAATCCAGTATGATGGCATCATCATCATGATAACTGCCAGTTAAAGGCACCCTTATGACGAATATACTCACAAAGATGAACGTGTCTTTTTGTGTCCTAGCATTAGAGGACTTTTGTATATAAGAGGACTTTGCAAAACATGATACGTAAATCTCACCATACATTTAGTATGGAGGCATAAAGAACGTGTGCTTGGATTGAGTCTTCAAAGCTGATATATCAAGATAGAATGGTTGAAAACTCTTTGTAGAGATAGTTTACTATATTTTTTTTAATCTTATGCAGGCTCTGCTGTCACACCTTCCCTTAAAATATCAGAAACTGAGACGGTACATCTCATGCAACTTTTAATGTTTATATATATGGGACCATGAGCTTTGGAACTTTGTGTGGTTATTTAGGAGCATCAAACGGTTCCATGCAGTCGGTGCCTATTTTACATGGGTTGCTAAGGCATCACTTGAAGAAGATTTTGTTTTGCTGGTAAATAGGGTAAATAAAATATAGAGAACCTGAAATTGATGTGGTCATTTGTTTCTGTTTCTCTGCCTGTCCCGATTATTGGTTCTAAATGCCTAATAGGTGGGACGGGCATGTATATAACAAGAACTAGTGTGAGTTGATAATCAGATGTGAATGATCAGAAAATGCTTCAGACTGATGCAGACAACAGAAATTTTAGTTTAGAAGGCCTCAGGTTGTTAGGACAAAAACTTGCTACGTGTTGTCGTATCTTACGATGAATAATTTGGAATGGCTTCTGTTTTTGGGTATAAGGAGGAAGTCTTCAAATCCATGTAGTTCGCTTGTGAGGTCACTGTGTAAAAATTGCTCGACTCTTGCATATTTCAGTTCTTTGTGAAAACAATGATATGGTTCTACATTTCTTATAGATGGTGAGACTGTGAAGTAACTTTTAATCTTTTATTTTTCTTATTTACTAATTTTTGAATAGAAGTCACTATTATAACTTAGTGCTATCTTGTCCTTCCGGTCATTTGTATAGTTTATTTATAGGCAATTCTTTGCATAACATTCCTTTTTGGTGGGTGGGCAGTACAGAAATGTCCACCGTCATAACCAAACCAAACCAAACCAAACCAAACGAGCCCAGTATATCCCTCCAAAGGGGTGGGGTGTGGGGGTTGATACGGGGTCAACACCAAACTCTCGCGTTTGAAGGGTCGTTAAGGTTTTCAAAAAGTCATTGAGGATTAATGTAACAGCCCACAATTCTAACCATCGTATAATTCACAACAATCGTTCATAACTTAAACATCAGTTGAAGTATAACCCAAACATTAGATTGTTTACAAAATGAGAGAAAATTATGGGTTAACAAAAACTGTCTGTTACAATACAAACATCTAAATATCACTTCATTATATTTTTCCCTTGCCTTTGTCTTGTGATGATAGATGACCTGCAAAACAGATTAGTTCAATAATTGAGCGTTAGACCAAAAGGTCTAGTGAGTGTGTCCTTCTCATACAAACAACATATATTTCAAGATCCAAGATTGTAATAAACCTGGACATTTATATATGTATCATTTCATCAGTTATCTAACACGGTTACACCGCCATTTCCTCTTCAATAAAAATTTGTATAATATAATATCACCAAATATGATAAAATACGGTCAATACCTATTAGTAATCCGGTCAACATAGTCGGAGATGTAATCCGGTCAACATAGCCGGAGATGAAATCCGGTCAACATAGCCGGAGATGAAATCCGGTTTAGAATGAATACGGACAATACTTCCTCCGGTTTAGGATGAATCCGGACAACGCTTCCTCCGGTTTAGGATGAATCCGGACAACGCTTCCTCCGGTTTAGAGTGAATAGGGACAATACTTCATCCGGTTTAGGATGAATCCGGTCAAGAGGTTGTTTAATTCATAACAAGCTATATTCAGTAGCAATTGTATCACATCCATATGATTATTATGCAAGTAGAAAGCCATTTAAACTCACTTGACCAAAAGGTCTGTTTGAAATGTGATTGTTTCTTCTATCCGGAGATAATAAATTGTCAAAGAGACTTTTCTAACATCAAGTGATCCAAAAACTTTTTCCTTTCACTTGTACTTGCTATATATAGTAAGTACATAACCGACCCCCCCTTTTTCCTTAATAAAAATAATCCAACACACACATTTACTCACAAAATTTATTTAAACACATTTTAGTATTTGACCAAATACTTAATATAACCGAACATCACAACATCCCCTCCTTAGAAGAATTCCGTTCCGGAATCCCACTAAGTAAAAAAATAAGGATATTTCATTCAGATTTCTGCCTCTGATTCCCAGGTGGCATCTGCTTCTTTATGATAACGCCACTGTACTTTTACTACTATGATTTCCTTATTCCGCAATTTCTTTACCTTAAAGTCAGTAATGGTTTCAGGGGTTTCTTCAAAGCATAATCTTTCATCAACTTTAATTTCTAGTAGGGGCACCGCTACATCTGGATTCACTAGACGCTTCCTCAAATTTGACACATGAAACGTATCGTGGATACCACTTAACTCCAAAGGAAGTTCCAGTTTGTATGCCACCTCCCCAACTCTTTCAATGATAGGAAAGGGTTCCATATATCTCGGGCTTAACTTCTTTTTACCAATACGTACTACACCTTTCCAAGGTGATATTTTTAACATTACTTTGTCACCAATTTGGAACTCAATTGGTTTCCGACGTTTATCGGCATAACTTCTTTGCTGATCTTATGCCACTTTCATTCGTTCTCGTATTTGGCAAATTTTATCTGTTGTTTGCTGGACTAGCTCTGGCCCAGCTAACTGTTTCTCACCTATCTCGTTCCAACATAAAGGAGTTCGACACTTCCGTCCATACAGAACCTCAAAAGGTGCAGCTTGAATACTCGAATGGTAGCTATTATTATAAGCGAATTCTACCAAAGCCAAATGATTATCCCATGATCCCCCAAAATCAATTACACAAGCTCTAAGCATATCTTCCAACGTTTGGATAGTTCGTTCACTTTGTCCATTCATTTGAGGATAATAAGTTATACTTAGCTTAATCTGTGAATCCATCTCTCTTTGAAAACTTTTCTAAAACATAGAAGTGAATCGACTATCTTTATCGGAAATGATTGATAGGGTAATACCATGACGTGACACTATCTCATCAATCTATAGTTTTGCCAATCTCTCCATTGAATATGATTCTTTCATCGGTAAGAAATGTGCAGACTTGGATAACCGATCTACAATCACTCATATGGCATCATAACCTTTCGATGTTCTTGGCAATTTGGTTATTAAATCCATAGTGATGTGATCCCATTTCCAAACTGGAATTTCTAAAGACTGCAACTTACCATATGGACGTTGGTGTTCTATCTTTACCTGAAGACATATCATACACTGTTCAACATGTTTGGTTATATCTTTCTTCATGCCTGTCCACCAATAATTTTGTCTCAGATCCCAATACATTTTGTTTGTACCGGGTGAATAGCAAAACGGGATTTCTTCACTTAAGATACGTTATCTGAGATTACCAAAACATGGTACCCAAATTTTGTTCTGAAAATTCCAAAATCCTCTGTCATTCTTTTCAAATTCAGATACTATTCCACCCAGTCTTTCTCGTTTAATTTTATCCTCTTTCATAGCTTCACTTTTGAATTCCTGCAATTTTTTCTGAATACTCGGTAGTAACTCAACCCTTAAAGCTATAGCTTTGATGGTACCACTTTTCTCTTGACGGCTTAAAGCATCAGCCACCACGTTTGCTTTTCCTGGATGATACAAAATTTCACAATCATAATCGCTAACCAATTTTAACCATCGTCTTTGGCGCATATTCAAATCTTTCTGATGGAACAGATGTTGTAGGCTCTTATGATCTGTGAAAATTTGACATATCGTTCCATATAAGTAGTGCCTCCATATCTTTAAAGCGAACACTACAACTGCTAGCTCCATATCATGAGTAGGATACTGTTTTTCATGATCTTTTAACTACCTTGAAGCATAAGCAATTACCTTTCCACGTTGCATCAATACACAACCCAAGCCCATCTTCGATGCGTCACTATATACCACAAAATCTTCCATTTCATCTGGCAAGGACATAATTGGTGCACTACATAACTTATCTTTTAATATTTGAAAAGCCTGAGCTTGCGCTTCTTCCCACTCATACTTTACATTCTTTTTTGTCAATTTTGTTAATGGAGTGGCTATACGAGAAAAGTCTTGTATAAACTTGCGATAATACCTAGCCAATCCAAGAAAACTTCTGATTTCAGTTGGGGTCTTCGGCGCTTCCCACTTTTCAATGGCTTCAATCTTAAGAGGATCTACCTTGATGCCCTCCTTCGAAATAACATGCCCCAGAAACTGAACCTCTCACAGCTAAAATTCACATTTTGACATCTTAGCATTCAACTTTTCTTGTTTCAGTAATTCCAGGAGTAATTTCAAATGGTGAGCATGCTTCTCTTCCGACCGAGAGTAAATCAAAATATCATCAATGAAAACAATCACAAATTTATCAAGATATGGACGACACACCCTATTCATCATATCCATAAAGGTTGCAGGCGCGTTTGTGAGTCCAAACGGCATAACCAGAAATTCATAGTGACCATAACGTGTACGAAATGCCGTTTTCGACACATCTTCATCCCGAATCTTTAATTGATGATAACCGGATCGTAAATCAATTTTTGAAAAATAAGTAGCCCCAACCAATTTATCAAACAAATCATCAATTCTCGGAAGAGGATACTTATTTTTGATTGTTAATTTATTCAGTTCTCGGTAATCAATGCACATTCTCATTGATCCATCATTCTTTTTCACGAATTACACCGGCGCACCCCATGGAGAAATACTTGGTCGAACAAAACCTTTATCCAACAATTCTTTCAATTGTGACATTAACTCCTTTAATTCAAAGGGAGCTAATCTATATGGTGCACGTGCAATTGGCGCTGCTCCAGGCAGTAATTCAATCTGAAATTCTATCGATCGATCCGGGGGCAGACTTGTTAAGTCTTCTAGAAACACTTCCGAAAATTCTCACACAACGGGAATATCCTCCATCTTTTTCTTTTCTTTCTTCATGTCAATTGCATAGGCAAGAAAACTAACACATCCTTTCTGTACGTACTTCCGAGCCTTTAAAACAGAGATAAGGCTAGAATAACGATCCCGCCGGTCCCCATAAATTATAACCTTTCCCTTTCCTGGTAAGTCTATGTGGATCATCTTTTTATTACAGACTATGTTAGCTTGATTTAAGCTAACCAATCCATGCCCACAATTATCTTAAGGCTATA